AGCGACTGACTGACACACATTGTATCTTTAAATCTTTGTTTAATCCAGCTAGCCCCAAGCGAACGCCGGCATTCGCGCGCCTATTCCTTTTTTTGCGTTTCTTCTTCTATTGTGTCTCGAATTAGACGGTTGAAAGGTTGACCTTTTAAGTGTGTGAGAGCCATGCTTCGGCACGAATGGATCGGCTCGACCGGAGTGATACCACGGGCTCACAGAATACCGGCGTGAAAGTTGTGTTTTGCCGTGTGAGTGAGGTTACCGGAGGCCCAATCCCTCCCCCTCTCGTTATTCCTTCCCAATCCTTGAATATCCGAAACCTTTATCTCTTCAAAAGGTCGGCAACGCACTCGTGACTCTTTTGGTGTTACGGCTGTCCATGGCCGGCGCTGATTGCTTACCATCAGGTAAACCCTCCTTCGTTTGCCGACCTATCCCATAAAAAAGCCCGTATGCCCATAATGGTCTAAGGGCTGATTTTTCAATAGTCCGATAAATGTTATCTGTGGAATAAAATTGTTGCTGTCACTGTCTTATACAAACATTCTGACGCGACAGCATCATAATTATTCCCTAGATAACTTTTATCTAACCATTGAAAAATTAGCCTTCATTGAAATTGAAGTTGAGACTTATGACACAGAAAAAAAACAAATATAATAGATAGCCACAGATATCCCATTAGAAATGCAATACTGTACACCGGAATTGACGAGTCAATTAGAATGCGTCATATCCGGTACACAACACGCAGCTATTTCCTCCTTGATTAGGTTCGGTACCGTTTGTATTTGTTATTTGCTTTGTTAATTAATTGTTTATGTTACAATAATATTGTATTATATATCAGTACATTTTTTTTTTGTTAATAAGTCGGCAAACGAGCTGACGGTTTACCTGATGGTAAGCAATCAGCGCCGCCCATGGACACCCGGAACGGAGGAGTTATGAGTGCGTTGTCGACCTTTTAGGGATTAGGGATTTGGAGATTTAGGGATTGGGGAAGGGTCCGGGAAGGGAAACGGCGAAACACAACGCTGTGGTTGTTTCACGCTGGTTTTCTGTGAGGCCGTGGTATCACTCCGGTCGAGCCGACCCATTCGTGCCGAAGCATGGCTCTCCCACACTTGTACTCTCTTGTATGGCTCTCCACATAGTATTACTAATATTATAAAGAGGTATAATTTGTAATTTCGCCGTCCGTGGCGTGAGTCACTGCAGGGTGCCACCTGAAAATCAGCGTTGAGCATATTCGCTCAACTATATGCTGAGGTGGAGGCCCTTTTGGCATGGGCACATGAATATTATTATTTTAACGTTTTATTTTCTTTTTTGATACTTTATACCCGTTTTTGTTGTATTATTCTTGTTTTGTTTGTTATATTATTATTGTACTTATAAATATATGTGTTTGAAGGCACCGGGGGGTTGGTACAAACATTAACATCCCGATCGTTGTCTTCACAGTCCATCGCAGGGCGTAGGATTTTATAATCAGACCGAATAAATTACAAAAATAACGGACGTCGGCGATCCGCCTCAGATGACAGTCGCAGCGCTCGCTCTCCACCATAATGCGCACGCAGAACTGCCAGTTTGACGTTCCGCCAGAGTACGATTTATGGTACCCTCGTCCGATGAATTGTGATAAAACCTCCTTCAAGATTCAATTTAAATAATCGTCGCTCCGACACGGCCAGACTGACATTCGCTCGTCCTCGAGCGATCTTAGTTCTGTGGTAATTCTGGAATAAAAGAAAGATTCCACGTGTATAGCACGCTGCTCGTTCATCCTGACTAACATGCGCTTTCTCAACATCGCCTGGTTACTGCACTCAAGATCGTCGTATCATTATCATCATTATCAGTTGTACCTACTTCCAAAACAACTTATCCCAAACCACACTGATACGGCCTCAGCGATTGGTGTGCATGGACCGGATGTATGCGCCTTAACCACCAGCCAACATGCTCCGGCAAGACCACATCATCCCTTCGACCAGCTCACCACATCACCTGCCTGGGTCAGACTAGTGCGTCCCTCCGACTAGACACCACGTGACATAGACCGGACGTCACTATCCTTCCCAATGATCAGTTACGACAACTCACAACTATATTCACAGACACGTCACCCAGATGAAACTAGGTACAACCATCAACTTCTCTAATTTGGGAACTATCTCGCTCGTTATAACTACAGTCGTTGGTTCAATCATATGACCACGCAGATAATGAGGAAGATGACCCGTTATCCCAAAGAAATGGAACTTTCTCACCGGTAGATATCTCCAACAAGCCTTTGGAAGCTCTATAGCCACAAGCGTTGACTTCTTTAAATGTTGCATAGCTGGTCTTCTTCTCGAAACGTGACATGAAAAACAGATGAGTGCATGCCCCTTTTTCATCCGCGTCAGTTACAGGTCGTTCTTTCGGATTATCAGATGGTTTCCCATCAAATCCCACTTCTGATGAAGGCACCGGGGGGTTGGTACAAACATTAACATCCCGATCGTTGTCTTCACAGTCCATCGCAGGGCGTAGGATTTTATAATCAGACCGAATAAATTACAAAAATAACGGACGTCGGCGATCCGCCTCAGATGACAGTCACAGCGCTCGCTCTCCACCATAATGCGCACGCAGAACTGCCAGTTTGACGTTCCGCCAGAGTACGATTTATGGTACCTTCGTCCGATGAATTGTGATAAAACCTCCTTCAAGATTCAATTTAAATAATCGTCGCTCCGACATGTTCTTATTATGTATTTGTGTGCCTATTTGTCTAATAAATGTGTTTTCTTTCTTTCTTTTATAATTTTGTAGGTAAGTTTGTATTTTGGGGGTCAATCTTTGGAACTGCTGGTCGGATTTCCAAAATTCTTTCTAACTAATTGATAGCTACAATGTTCCTTAGTGCTATAGGCTCTAAATCATCACGATATGATCATATGGAGCCGAGCAGGGAGTAGCTAGTAGTATTAATAAAGTCTCTTTCTCTGTCCCTATATCCCTATGTACGCTTAAATCTCTAAAACTGCACAACGGATTTTGATACCTACGACGGCTTTTTAATAAATAGAGCGATTGAAGAGAGAGATTTATATACAAAATAATACTTATTAATTTGTTGGTAGAGAAATTTAGGATCAGGGTTACTAACCTTACTCCTCCGAAACGGCTTTAACGATTTTCACAAAATTTTATATGCATACTAGCCTTTGCCCGCGGCTTCGCTCGCGTTAAGAAATATTATTCTTAATTAGGTATAGTTTTTGCGTATTACTTTTTTTAAGCGTGTGTTGAAAACTAAGGCCTCATCTTCATCAATCTTTAATTTCAGCTCAATTAGTCGAAAATCTAAGAAGATTTATACAAACTTTCATCCCCTATTTAAACCACTTAGAGGTGGAATTTATCAAAATCCTTTCTTAAGGGATGTAGGCATACCGTATAACATAGGTACCTACGCACATCGTAGGCGTTATAGTAGCTTTATGCATGTAAGGTCTCGGTTTAAAACTGACAAAGTTTCATCCCCTTTTTTATCCTCTTGGGGGTAAAATCAATCAAAATCCTTTCTTAGCGGATGCCTACGTCATAACATCTACCTGCATGCCAAATTTCAGTCCGATCCGTCCAATAGTTTGGGCTGTGCGTTGATAGATCACTGTATAAGTCACCTTAGAGTTTTATAACGCGCGTAGCGTTCCGCGCGCGCCTCAAAGAGCCATTCGACCACCACAGACGGGGCCCTAAAGGGCTGATGTTCAGCCGGGGTTGCGGGGTAAGCGCAATGAGGTACCGCGACCTCGGCACAGAGCAGGAGAAGGAACAGGGGGGTTTTTAGTCAGTAAGAGTCTGACACTCCCTCCTGCCCGGCCCTGGGCGGGAGAAGCCATTTGATGATTTTCCCTTCACAAAAAAAAAACCGGTTTCTGAAAGGCTTGTCAACGCTAAAATTAACTAATCTCCTGTTAAATCTCTTGTCAAGTCATCTGATTGGTTGTTGATAATTCAGTCAACCAATCAGATGACTTGACAAGAGATTAAATTGATTTTAACATTGATTATCCTTTCGGAAACCGGGTGTCAGTAGATCTGAGAATTGACTGTCTATATTTTATACCCCATAGTAATAAGGGTTGTTAACCTTTAACATTTCGAAATAGGTTATTTACCTGTATGGCAAAACAACATTTTCCGGGTCAGCTATTTTGTATAATATACATATATCTATAAAGAGGTCAAATTTGTAAGTTTGTACATATGTAGGGGGTAATCTGTGTCCAACTATTTTCCGAGTTGTTTTTTCCCGAATCTCCCATCTATATTTCTTATTTTTTTTATAAAAACCTTTTCCTGACTGTATCGAACTCAACAAAAACAGAATTGCCGCAAATAGATCCATGCGTTATTGAGTTATGCGCTTACCGATTTATTTTGTCTTCCATTTTTATATACATACAAGCGGTCGGAAGCGGCAACGCCCGCGTTTTTATATCATTTTTAAATTTTTTCGTGATTTTTTTTTCATTACCTACAAACTTTCTCTGGACTTCCTCGAATAATTTAAGACCAAAATTAGCCAAATCGGTAAAGGCATTGTTGAGTTATAACGTTACAACGAAAAGTGGTATTGATTTTATTTAGATTGGAACGAGATTCATAGATGTGACGTCATACCTTTCTAGTTTCAAATGATACTTCATCATCATCATCAGCCTATAAGTGCCCACTGCTGAGCAAAGGCCTCTTCCCACACGGAGAAGGTTTGAGCATTAATGACCACGCTTGCTCAATGCGGATTAGCTATTAAAAGCTTAAGTATAATTACAAATTATAAGTCTAGGTTACCTCACGATGTTTACCTTCACCGTATGTCAGTGGTGTCTAAATAATCATATAAAGTACATACTTTAAAAAAGTCACTTTTGTATTTGCCAGAGCTATACTTATTGTTACATTTTTCTTCATTACAGATGGAAGCGATAATTGAGAAGATGCAGGACGAAAACACAGGAGTTCCTGTGAAGACTGTCAAGAGTTTCATGACGAAGATACCTTCGGTAAGAGAATCTCTCTCCTTTTATGTAATAGGTCGACAAACGAGCAGACGGATTACCTGATGGTAAGCTATCAGCGCCGCCCATGGACACGCGCAACGGAAGAGTCACGAGTGCGTTGCCGACCTTTTAGGGATTTGGAGATTTAGGGATTGGGGGAGGGAAAGGATTGGGCCTCCGGTAACCTCACTCACAAGGCGAAACAGAACGCTGTGGTTATTTCACGCTGGTTTTCTACCGACCAGCGATTCCAATCCAACATACAAATTTTACCTCTTTATAATATTAGTATAGATTACTTCATAAAATTATTGTATTCAATTATTTTTTTCAGGTATTTACAGGCACTGACTTAGTCGCCTGGTTGGCCCGCCATCTCAATTTGGAAGAGACGTGGGAAGCGCTACACGTGGCCCATCTGTTAGCTGCCCACGGTTACCTGTTCCCAATCGACGATCACTGCCTCACTGTCAAGAATGATAATACTTATTATAGGTGAGTTTTTTATGTGATTTTTTACGGTGCCTTGGATAAATGGTAAGAACGGGATTCCACAGTCCGTTCGTCCGTCTGGCGTCTTTTATGGTATAGGTCGGCAAACGAACTGGTGGATTACCTGATGGTAGGCAATCACAGCTGCCCATGGACACACCAAAGAAGTTGAAGTTGAAGAAACGCCGGCAATGCACTCGTGCGTTGCCGGCGTTTTGGGGATAAAGGAATTTTAAAGGAATGGGGGCAAGGTTAGGGATTGGGTCTCCGGTAACCTCACTCACACTGCGAAAGTGTGAGTCCGTGGTATCACTCCGGCCGAGTCGACCCATTCGTGCTGAAGCTTAATTTAGTTATCTCCAATCCGCTTTGAGCAAGCGTGGGATCACCTGATGGTAAGCGATCAGCGCCGCCCATGGACACTCACAACACCAGAAGAGTAACAGGCACGTTGTTGGCCTTGTAAGAAGGAATACGCTCGTTTCTTGAAGATTTGAAGGTCGTATCGTTTCGGAAATACCGCCGCGGAAAGATCGTTTCGAAGTTTAGCTGTGCGAGGCAGAAAGTTTCGCGAAAATCGCACAGTGGTTGACTGCCAACCATCTATATGATGGAGATGATAACGTTTTCGCTTTGATCGATGGCGAAAGAAAGGGTGGGAATTAACATGAATAATCATCGAAATCGGAAGTTATCCCCTTGGTATAGGCGGTATAGAACATATAGCTATAGTACATGTAGCGAGTAAGGGCAGCCCGACCAGAACCAGGCCCGACCGTTGGGCGCGTAGCGTTCCGCGCGCGCCTCAAAGATCCAATAGACCACCACATACAGGGCCCTATAGGGCTGATGTTCAGCCGGGGTTGCGGAGTAAGCGCAAAAAGGTACCGCGGCCTCGGCCTGGAGTAGGAGAAGGAACGGGGGTGTTTTTAATCAGTGAGAGTCTGACACTTCCTCCGGCCCGGACCTGGGCGGGAGAAGCCATTTGATTATTTTCCCCTCACAAAAAAAGCGAGTAATGTTAGCTTGCCGCCCGACCAGAACCAGGCCCGAGCGTACGGCGCGTAGCGTTCCGCGCGCGCCTCCAAGAGCCAATAGACCACCACAGACGGGGCCTTATAGGGCTGATGTTCAGCTGGCGCACCGGGGCAAGCGCAATAAGGTACCGCGGCCTCGGCCTGGAGCAGAAGGGGAACGGGGGGGTTTTAGTCAGCAAGAGTCTGACACTCTCTCCCGCCCCACCCTGGACTTGAGAAGACATATGATGATTTTCCTCCCACAAAAAGAAAATATAGTACTTATATTAAACGTATTTGATTTGTTCCAGATTCCAAACTCCTTACTTCTGGCCCTCCAATCAATGGGAACCTGAGAATACTGATTATGGTGAGATTCAATTTTTAATTTACAAAGATAAAAATAATTAATTTTAGCCCTGGAATGATTGCGTCAAATTCAGTCGTTTCGATTTTTTTTGCGATCAACAGGGTAACTTGAAACTGATCGAGCTTTTCTCGAATAGTTTCAGGTGAGTAGGCTATATATTGCAAACTAGCTACTCCTTCCTGATTTCATCCGCTGCTCAGCTTTTATTTGTCGTAGTATAATGTTTTATAGCCTATCTGAACAAAATGGTCAAGTTTTTTTTTATTTGGTATAAACCAGTGCTTGACTGCGATCCCACCTGAGATAAGACACTTAAATAACTTTTGTTTCAAATAAGCAGACGGATTACCTGATGGCAAGCAATCAGCCGCCCATGGACGCTTGTAATACCAAAGGAGTTACTACCAGTGCGTTGCCGGTCTTTTGTGGGCTAGTAGGGATTTAAGGGTAGGGGATTTCAGGTTGTTGATGGAGTGTAAGGGGGAAGAATTGGGCGTCCAGTAACCTCACTCACACGGCGAAACACAACGCTGTGGTTGTTTCACGTCGGATTACGAGTGCGTTGCCGACCTTTTAGGGATTAGGGATTTGGAGATTTAGGGATTGAGGAGCGATTGGGGAAGGGGAAGGATTGGGCCTCCGGTAACCTCACTCACACGGCGAAACACAACGCAGTGGTTATTTCACGCCGGTTTTCTGTGAGGCCGTGGTATCACTCCGGTCGAGCCGACCCATTCGTGCCGAAGCATGGCTCTCCCCCACTTAATAATAATAGGTATATTGTTTTTGTCCACAGCGGTATATCTCTGCAAGCGAACAATGCAGAACAAAGCGCGGCTGGAGCTGGCGGATTACGAGGCCGAGTCCCTGGCGAGGCTCCAGAAGATGTTCAGCAGGAAATGGGAGTTCATCTTCATGCAGGCGGAGGCACAGAGCAAGGTATGTACGTTAGAAAGACATAGGTCATCGCTTTATGGAGGATAGCTACTCTCGCGGAGTTTCACTCGCTGCTCGGCTCCATTTGACCGTAGCGTGATGTTTTATAGCCTATAGCACTCGGGAACATTGTAGCTATCTATCAGTGAAAGAATTTTGACAATCCGACCAGCGGTTTCAAAGATTACCCCCTACATACAAACTTAAAAATTTTACCTCTTTATAATATTAGTATAGAATCCCATCTACACGCACGAAGCGGTTCGCTACCAGTTTTATCCAGAACCGCTAAGGAGTGGAATTCTTTGCCGGAGTCTGTGTTCCACGAAGGGTATACACTATACAGTATAACCTGGGTGTCTTCAAGGCCTGAGTGAATAGGTTGCTTATTGTGTAGACGTGCTCCATCGTAGGTCGCATCATCGCTTCCCACAAGGCGTGATAGCGGCCAAATGCAAAAAAACATTTATTTGGCACGGGAAAATCAACTATATATGTAAAGAATCCTTGTCCTTTCCCCTTCCCATCCTAATCTCTTAATCCCCAAAAGGCTGTCAACGCGCTTGCTACTCCTCCGGTATTGCATGGTGGGTGTGATAGCCGCCAAATGCGAAACAAAACACTTATTTGGCACTGGAAAATCAACTATATATTTAAAGAATCCTTGTCTTTCCCCTTCCCATCCTAATCCCTAAATCCCGAAAAGGCTGTCAACACTGTTACTACTCCTCCGGTGTTTCGGGTGTCCATGGGCCGGCGCCGGTTGCTTATCATCAAGAATAGAATAGAATAGAATAGAATAGAAATTTTATTTGCTTAAACATGTGTATACATACAGAATTAAAATAATACATGCATGAAAGATATTATAAATAGGCGTGAGCATGACATGTCTGCCCATCTCAAGGCGTGCAAATATTAGGTAAAGTTTTTTTATCAAATAGATTCAAATTATAGGAGTACAATTACACTTATACATTATGTTACATCAAATTCTAAAGATCAACAATATATTAGTTACATACACATATCATTACATTATCAATTTATATTTATTATTTAATTATTTCATTTACTAACACAAGGAGTCATTTAAAAATTCTATAATACTATAATAAGCTTTTTGTACCAAAAACGATTTCATAGTATGTTTAAGTTGAGGTATTGTTTGCTCCTTCCAACTTTTGGGCAATTTATTGTAGATAATTGGTGCCATGCAGAAAACACTTTTCCTCATAAGTGCAGTTTTTGACGTGTGTGCACATAGTTTGCTATCATCACGTCTATTTCGAGGGAATTTGTCTGCCATACGGGTGAACAAATGCGGATATGCCTTAACGAACATAGCTATTTCAAATATATACAGTGAGGGTAACGTTAAAATCTGATGTTTTTTGAAATAAGGTTTACAGCTATCAGTAATTTTGAGATTAAACATCGATCTCAAGCAGTACTTTTGTCTTTTGAAGATGATATCCCTATCAGTTGAGTTGCCCCAGAAGATAACACCATATCTAATGACGGACAAGTTATCCCTCTGCTTATTTGTCGCCGAATAGAAAACTCAACTCAACAACAAAAAAGACGCATTACCTAATGGTAAGCAATCGGTGCCACCGGTGGTGATAAGTGTTTTAAAGATTTGAGAAATGAGAAATAGCCCTCCGGCAACCTCAAATTGTTGGATCACCCGAAGAGTTGATCGATTCCTGCATCAAACAATGATGCAGGAATCGATCAACTACGATATGTTGCGTGGTAACCGATTGACCCAGCCACCAAGCCAACCTGATCCTAAAAATGTGAGGGAGTAAACGTCTTCCGGCCTATATGACATATGATAAAATGTCTCCTCCCTCCACAGGTGGACAAGAAAAGGGATAAGTTGGAGAGAAAAGTGCTGGACAGTCAGGAACGAGCGTTCTGGGATGTTCACCGACCTATGGTATGTAGTTCTTACTTATAATATTAGTAAATATACTAATTCAATACTAAATTAATTGAAAATAATGACATACCATACATACCCACGTGATATCACGGCTTCACAGAAATATATAATGATATGCAAAAGTAATAGGTATATGTCGGATTTTAAAAACAGCATCATTTAAAACGATAGCTCAACGGTAATACGCAAATGAAGTGAAATTTATATAAGGTATAATTAATCTATCTTTACTTCTATACTAATATTATTTATAGTTAATAGTTTTATTTTTATTTGCAATTTTATTTTTAATAATCTATAATATTACGATGTTATTATTTTTTGCATGATGTGGTCTCCTATAATTGGAGGAGCACAAAACTATTGTATTTTATTTTATTATTGCGCATGTAATGTGTATTCTCTGTTGGAGATCCTAATAAAATAAATAAATAAATGCGAAAGTAACTCTGTCTATCTGTCTGTCTTTTCTTCACGCCTAAACTACTGAACCGATTTCCGTGAAATTTGGTACAGACATAGTTTGGAACTCGAGAAAGGATATAGGATAGTTTTTATACCAAAAAATCTGCAGGAAGTCACTATTCCACGCGAACGAATTCGCGGGCATAAGCTAGTATGGTATAATTAAGGTATACTTTTAAAAGGTATTAATATGTTATGCAGCTACAACCAGTGAAAGAATTTTTCAACTCCAAAGATTACCCCCCTACATACAAACTTACAAATTTTACCTCTTTAAATATTAGTATAGATTAATAAAATTAAATATTAAACATATTTCTTTACATTTTTCAGCCGGGCTGCGTTAACACAACTGAAATAGATCCGAAGAAACTGTCTCGCATTAATGCTCTTAAGGCGAAACGTCTCCGACAATGCCAGGAATTGATATTACAACATAACCTAAAGGTAAGTTCTTGTTACAATTATGGTTCTTAAGTTTAAGGGTTCCTGGTTGGGCTCGAAACTAGACGAGGCATCTTATAGTACATAAGCAAGGAGATACTGTGTTTGTTTTGTTAGAATGGTTCAATGTTAAAAACAAGGATTTTTGGTTGAATGTTCAGTTTGAAATATACAATATTTAACTACATTTTTGCATTATTTACAGTACCTACATAGTATTAAAAGTACATAAAATAAACTCATGAGGGTGATTTCTTATATCTAGTCAGAGTTGTTTTTTAAATACGGTAGTTTCCAACTAGTCAAATCAATACTTTTATCCAAATGTCAAAAACTATACTTTTCTATGTAATTTCTATGAAAAATTGAGTTATGACGTCATAGTATTTTCGCGTCAAATAGCTTACTCATTTCTTAGTAATTAGCTACAAAATATCTAAAACATAGTGTATCGATCGCTCGATGAATAAAAGTATAGTTATTTTTCAATATATTATTGTATTGAAACGTCGAATTTATTTATTATTGACCTAGGAAACTACACAATCATAAAATAATTACTTATTTGTTTCAGAATAACCCAATAGTGACGATCACGAATCCTCAAGAGAGCGAAGAAGAGATTCAGAAGAAAAATGATAATAACGTTATCAAGGAGAATGGTAAGAGTTTCACTATTTTCAACCTTATATGCAACGTCATCAGCCTATAAGTGCTCACTGCTGAGCAAAGGCCTCTTCTCACACGGAGAAGGTTTGAGCATTAATCGCCACGCTCGCTCAAGACGGATTGGCGATTTCAAACTTATAATAAGAAATTATAAGTCCAGGTTTCCTCACGATGTTTACCTTCACCGTATGTCAGTGGTGTCTAAATAATCATAGAAAGTACATAAAATATAGCTCGGAAAATGTCACATTGGTACTTGTTAAGTTTCGAACCCATGGCGCTGGCCATGGATACCCGCAACATCGGTCGAATTACAAGTGCGTTGCCGGTCTTTTGAGAATTAGGCGATTTAGATGACAGTAAGAAGGATTGGACTCACTCACACGGCGAAACACAGCGCTGTGGTTGTTTCACGCCGGTTTTCAGTAGGCCGTGGTATCACTCCGGTCGAGCCGACCCATTCGTGCCAAGCATGGCTCTCCCACACTTAATTATATTAGTAATGATTTAACTAAGTCAATACCCAATTAAAACATTATTTTCTATCCGACAGGAGAAACGTCTCAACCGGAAATATCGGTGACATGCGTACCGGAAGTATCAGTGAAGCCGCCGACCATAGAGCAGCAAATTGAGGCGGCGCGCCGCCAAGTATCCATGCTTCGCACGAGACTCGAACGGCGGAACGTGCGCGTCAGTAAAGTTGCTGACATGTATGTATTTTTTATTAAATAATCTGTGTTGTTAATAACAAAGCATATATCCAAACTAATATTATAAATGCGAAAGTAACTCTGTCTGTCTGTCTGTCTGTCTTTTCTTCACGCCTAAACTACTGAACCGATTTCTGCGTAATTTGGTATAGACATAGTTTGGAACTCGAGAAAGGACATAGGATAGTTTTTTAACCAAAAATCAGCAGGAAGTCACTATTCCAAGCGAACAAAGTCGCGAGCAAAAGGTTTTTTTTTACTTGCAATAAACTAGTGCTTGACTGCGATCCCACCTGATGGTAAGCAGTGACGCAATCGTTGATGGTAAGGCGCACTAGTTTATTAAGAGCCTATTCACTCTAGCCTTGAAGACACCTAAATTATATTCGGATGGAAAGACTGCAGCCGGCAAACTGTTCCAATCCCTCGATGTACGCGGTATAAATGGCGAGGCAAAACGCTTAGTCCGGGCCGCAGGTGTCTCAACAACGTAGGGGTGGATATTCGCCGTACGAGGTAGTGTATATATAAAAAAAAGTCGTGTTAGTTACACTGTTTATAACTCAAGAACGGCTGAACCGATTGCGTGGACAATACGGTAGTTTCCAACTAGTCAAATTTGACTAGTTGGAAACTACGCGACTTTGTTCGCTTGGAATGGTGTTTTCCTCCAGATTTGTGGTATAAAAACTATCCTATGTCCTTTCTCGAGTTGCAAACTATGACTGTACCAAATTTCACACAAATAGGTTCAGTAGTTTAGGCGTGAAGAAAAGACCGACAGACAGACAGACACAGTTACTTTCGCATTTATAATATTAGTTTGGATATATGTTTTGTTATTAATACCGTTATAATTTCCAAATGTCAAAAACGATACTTTTCTATGAAATTTGTATGAAAAACTGAGTTATGACGTCATAGTATTTTTGCGTCAAATAGTTTACTTATTTCTTAATAATTAGCTACAAAATATCTTAAACTTAGTGTATCGATCGATCGATGAATAAAAGTATAGTTATTTTTCAATATTTTATTGTATTGAAACGTCGAATTAATTTATTTTTGACCTGGGAAACTACCCTATTCTAACTAAATAATTTCAGGTTTATAGCCTACTGTGAACAGTACGCGGAGTATGATGCGTTCCTGACTCCCCCCGAATGGCCAAACCCTTGGGTCAGTGACACCACTGACATGTGGGACCAGGAAAAGCAATGGTAACTATCATTAAACATATTATTAATTAATTGTATGAAGAGTATGGTTAAAGGTATCGTTGGTAAACGAGCTGACGGATTACCTGATGGTAAGCAATCAGCGCCGCCCATGAACAATCGTTTTTTTTTTAATCTTTGCCCCACTCTAGGATTTTCTCCTGTGTCGTGGGTGCGTTACGCAAACATTCAATTTCACATACATAACACACCCAGACTCGAAACAACAATTTGTGGATCACACAAAGTGTTGTAACGTGCGGGAATCGAACCCGCGACACGTCGCACGGCAGCCAGTTGCCCAGCCACCGCGCCGACCGTGCCGTCGTTACCACATAAGTGCGTTGTCGGTCTGTTATAGACAAGGGTTAGGAATATTTAAGTATTGGGGAAGGATTGGGTCTCCTGTAACCTCACTTACAACGCTATAGTTGTTTCACGCCGGTTTTCTGTGAGGCCGTGGTATCACTCCGGTCGCGCCGACCCATTCGTGCCGAAGCATGGCTCTTCCACAATCTAAATATTACCAGTATATTCTGACCTTGATCTTTTCCCTTTTAACATTCCAGCAAGGAACCGCTCCCGCTACGCCGCGTCCGCCGTTGGTCGTTCTCCCTCCGCGAGCTCCTGCAGGACAACGCCGGCAAGGAGCATTTCGCCAAGTTCCTCTCAAAAGAATTCAGCGGAGAGAATCTAAAGTGAGTTGTTCTTTCTTAGTACGGTAGTTTCCAACTAGTCAAATTCAATACTTTTATCCAAATTTCAAAAATGGTACTTTTCTATGAAGTTTGTGTGAAAAACTGAGTTGTGACGTCATAGTATTTTGACGTCAAATAGCGAACTTATAATTCGCGAAAAACTATCTACAACTGTGGTAGTAGTAGTCGTGATGGCCCCGAGGTTAAGAGTGCAGTTGCATTGAGGCGGAGCGGAGAAGAGTGGAGAAAAGAGCTCTAAGAACTACACCCTGAGGGTGTGCTGGGTTCGAAACCTGGCAAGTACCAATGTGACTTTTCCGAGTTATAAGTACTTTCTATGATTATTTAGACACCACTGACATACGGTGAAGGTAAACATCGCGAGGAAACCTGGACTTGTGTACATGTAAAGCTTAATATATAAATAAAGTTCCTAATTGTTTTTTGAGGGGGGAAATTATCAAATGACTTCTCTCGCTCAGTGTGAAGCGAGAGGGAGTGTCAGATTTTTTTTATAAGATACTAGCGTCCCGCCCCCGCTTCGCACGGGTTCAACTATCTCGCTATCAAAGGGTCACTTTTTCCTAATCTTACCCTCTACTTTTCTAATTTATTCTATTCTATATTGATAAGAACCATCTCCTGACAATAACAAACACAACAAAAAAAGAATTAGCAAAATTGGTCCAGGCGTTGTTGAGTTATGCGCTCACCAACACATTTTGCGATCCATTTTTATATATTAGAAGAAAGATATGTGAGCAAACGAGCCAGCGTATTACCTGATGGTAAGCAATCGGCGCTGCCCATGGAAACTCGCGACACCAAAGGAGTTACGAGTGCGTTGTCTGCCTTTTAGGGATAAAAGTTTCGGATATTTAAAGTTTGGGGAGGGATTGGGCCTTCGGTTACCTCACTCACACGGCGAAACACAACGCTGTGGTTGGTTTACACCGATGTTTTGTGAGGCCGTGGTATCACTCCGGTCAGGCCGAGGCGTAGCTAGCTTCCATTCTTACTGACTGGCGATAAGGGTAATGTCGATTTAAGGATTGGAAAAGCGAGGACTTTGCCAGCCTGTTGGGGTTTTGGAGATTGAGTAGAGATAGAGGGAGGGGAAAGATTTTTTTTTATGTAAACGATCGGCAAACGAGCAGACGGATTACCTGATGGTAAGCAATCAGCGCCGCCCATGGACACTCGCAACGGAGTAGTAACGAGTGCGTTGCCAACCTTTTAGGGATTTGGAGATTTAGGGATTGGGGAAGGATTGGGCGTCCAGTAACCTCAATCACACGGTGAAACACAACGCTGAGCCTGTTTCACGCCGGTATTTGAAGCCGTGGTATCACACCAATCAAGCCACTTTAAAAATTTTAAAATCATTACAGTAATTCCTATCTTTCCTCCTCAGATTCTGGCTAGCAGTGCAGGAATTGAAAGCGCTACCCATACGTCGCGTGGCGGCTCGGGCCAAGGATATATGGAAGGAATATCTCGCTGCTGATGCCCCATCGCCTATTAATATCGACGCGGCAAGCAGGTTAGTTAACTTTAATTAATTCGAGATTCAGAGCAGACGGATTACCTGATGGTAAGTAATCGGTGCCGCCCATGGAAAACTGCAACACCAAAGGAGTAACGAGGATGTTGCTGGCCTTTTGGGGATAAGGGTTTTGAGTATTGGGAGAGTTTAAGAATTGGGAAGGGATAGGGAAGGGATTAGGCCTCCTGTAATCTCAGTCGCACGGCGAAACAACGCTGTGATTGTTTCACGCCGTTTTTCTGTGAGGTCGTGGTATAACGCCAGTCGAGCCGACCTATCTAAAACAAAAATAACATTTGAGATCTACGCATCTGCATTACGTTGTATAGCACTGTGTATACTTACAAAATTTCGCAATTTGCAGAAATGTTGTTGAGGTTGGAGCGCGAAGAGAAAAGATACACTTAGTTAGTTTAGGACGTTTTATTATGTATATGTCACCGGAAAATAACAAGATCCGTAAGTTTATCAATTTACTAGGAAGTTTATAAACTTTCGTAAGATTCTAAACGGGAGATAAATTGTAATATTTTACGTCTACATTTTCGTAATTTTATCAATTTCCGACGTCATACGGTAAATTTATAAACTAACGAATATCTATTTTTAAGATTTTATATGGTTCGACCAATCACAGAAACTCTTTTAAATATACGATCTTTGAAATACGTAAAATAACACACTGCTCCCTGATTGGTCAATGTTCATAGTGGCAATGCTTGTGTCCATAGAAGTGACACGTGACAGCCAACCAATCAGATCGCGCGTAGCGTTTGGTTACTGCTTACTTATTATTTTACGAGTGAGTTCAGTAAGTTTATCAATTTACGAAAATGTAGACGTAAAATATTACAATTTATCTCCCGTTTAGAATCTTAAGAAAGTTTATAAACTACCTAGTAAATTGATAAACTTACGGATCTTGTTATTTTCCGGTGACATACACAATGAAACTGTTGACGATTCCTTTCTCTAATGTTGGTCACCGCTTAGCAGTAATTGCACTCTCTCATTTATAATGTTGTATCGGTATTTATAAAAACAAATTATGTACGATCAGTCATTTTTAAGACTTTACTAGGACATTTTAAAACATTATCCCACACTAATATTTTCTCCTGTGTCGTGGGTGCGTTTACAAACATACAATTTCACATCGTCACACCCAGACCCGGAACAATTTACGGATTACACAAAGATTCGTTCTGTGTGGGAATCGAACCCGCGACACGTGGCACGGCAGCCAGTTGCCCAGCCACCGCACCAACCGTGCAGTCATCAGTAAATTAAATAAATATTATTTTAATTTCAGGGAGCTAACTCGACAGAAAGTGGAATCGGGCACCGCCGACCGATATTGCTTCGATCAAGCTCAGGTAAGCAATTTCATTCCTATCATAATCATCAGCCTATAAGCGCCCACTGCTGAGCAAAGGTCTCTTTTCACACGGAGAAGGTTTGAGCATTAATCACTAATCACTACGCTCGCTCAAGGCGAATTGGCGATTTAAAACTTGTAAATAGAAATTATAAGTCCAGGTTTCCTCACGATGTTTTTCTTCTCCGTATTTCTGAAGTGTCTAAATAATCGAATAATAATTCGAACCCTATACCTTATACGTCGAATTGAAATGTCAAAAACGATATTTTCTTTTTTAATATTTGTATGAAAATCGTATCATGTGAATTCCTAATGTATTTAAATCAAATGCCATACTAAGTTTTGAAAAAACTAAAAATTATAGCTTAGAACAAAACTATAATTAAGTTTAGAATCTTGAGTCAAAAGTATTAAAGTACCGCGGCCTCGGCCTAGAGCAGGAGAAGGAACAGGGGGGTTTTGAGTCAGTAAGAGTCTGATTCTGTCTCTCACCTAACCCTGGGCGGGAGAAGCCATTCAATGATTTTCTTCCTCCAACAAAAAAGCATATCAGAACAAATCAATTAATGAAAGTATGGATACAATGTTATAATTATTCAACTTCGACACTGTCAAAATGTAATATTTTGTCCTTGACCTTTAAATGTGTTTGACTTCGACCTTGACCCTGAATTTACAGGCGCACGTGTACCACTTGATGAAGTCGGACAGCTACTCGAGGTACTTAAGATCCGAAATGTACAAGGATTATCTCAACGGATCCAAGAAAAAGGTAAGGTTTTGTAATTATTTTGTTGAGTTATATGTGTGAAGACAAATTATGCAATTGAGAGTCTAATGCTAACTGTGTTTTATTATTTTACTGCCTACGCTGGGCTACATACTGACGCTAAGTTCCTTACACGCTCACAGTGCATAATAATGTATGTGTGTCCCCCACAGCCCCTTTCTTTTTATTTTTTTTTTAAGTAATAAGTCTGAAAACGAATATTACCTGATGGTAAGCAATCAGCACCACCCATGGACACCCGCAACAGCAGAGGAGTTACAAGTGCGTTGCCGGTCTCTTGTGGATTATTCGGGATTTAAGGATTGAGGAATTGTGAGGGAGTGTGGGGGGCGGTAACCTACTTAAAACACAACGTAAGTATTGGTTCAAGCCGGTTTTCTGTGAGGACGTGGTATCACTCTGGTCGAGCCGACCCATTCATGCCGAAGCATAGCTCTCCTACAACTTACATTAATATATTTAAAAGATAAAAACTATAAAAAGACTAATACAGCCATTTTCCTTTTCCAGACATCCGTAAAAGGCATCCGCTCTATAGTGTCTTTCACTGCGCGCAAGGAGACTTCAGCGAATTGAAGCATAGATAATGTACCAAAGAGGTTTGTTGTTACTCGCGTTTAGTTGTTACGCGCTATGGCGCTAGTCGCTTGCGGGTACGTTGTATTACTATGGTTAAAGGTCAAAATCAAAATTGATTTTCAATTTCAGTTTGTGTCCAGATCAGAAATTAATGTCTAAATTTATATTTAGAGTTAAAGTCAAAAGTCTTTTTCAACTCAAGGTTAATGTCAAACTTGTGTCAAGGTCAAAGTCAAAATCAAATTTGTGTCAAGGTCAAAGTCAGAATGTGAATTTCAAAGTCTCTTTTGCACAACTAAAACAACTCCTCAATAAAAAAATGTCAAACACATTTTAACTTCGATCTCGAGGTTAAGGTCATTCATCAAATTTGATTTTGACTGTTACTTATAACATGAGTTAGACGTGAAACTTAAATCTCAATGTCAAGGTGAGTTAAAGATACAACAAAATCAAAATCTCAAGGTCAAGGGCAAATTGTAAGTCAATAATATTTGTTTACTCTATAATATAATAATATTCCCAGTACTAATGTTTTAGAATTCTCATATTTTTGGCAGCATCATCATCAGCCTATAATTGCCCACTGCTGAGCAAAGGCCTCTTCTCACACGGAGAAGGTTTGAGCATTAATCACCACGTTTGCGTGGATTAACGATTTCAACCTTAATAGGAATTATAGATCCAGGTTTACACCGGTGGGCACTTATAGGCTAATGATGATAATATATTATTTTTAATTCATATTGAAATAAGGAAAAGGTCAACAGATTTAAATTAGTCAATGCATAAAAGAGATAGCAATCCTTTTTCAGTAAAGAATTAAAGAGACAAAAAATCAAATACACAGTAATACAACGCGCCCGTATAGTTTTGAAAAAAATACTCAATGTGTAGATTTATAAGTTTTAATTAGTAATCTTTGATATTCTTTGTGGGGTTGTCTTTTTTTTTATTTGGAATCTTTTGAATACTGTCCGCTCCAGTTTCGATTTACAAAACTTTTTTGACATACACATCACACCCAGACCCGGAACAACAATTTGTAGATCACACAAAGGGAATAGAATCCGCGACTTTAATGCAGCCGGTTACCCAGCTATTATAGTGACAAAACTGAGTAATATTAGTATAGCGGCCCGACACTCAGTAATAGTTTGAGGATTCTGGACCCCCTCTCTCTCATCCTCAATCCCCAAATCACCAAACTCCAAAAAATCCATTTGTAACTATACTGATAACATAATTGTCTATTAACGGCGGTGATGGCTTACCATCAGGTAATCTGTCTGCTCGTTTGCCGACTTATCCTTTAAGTCTTAAATTGTACCTGATTTTATAACTAATAATTGCTCTCTATTATTTAAGATTTATAAGTGATGATAAATACTAAGATACTATTATACAATAAATACATCCCTACGCAACCCTTATAAGCAAATATTACAACTGAATTTTGATTGATAAAAAGCTTGTAGCTTTTTTTGTTCTGACAACACTGGTAATCAGTTGTCAAAACTCAACTCCTTAAATAATTTTATTTTAAAATGAATTGTAAAACTGATTGAAAAAGAGTTACCATGGAGTTTCTTGCTCGTTCTTCTCCATCGGAATCTACACTTTGGAACGAGCAAATAGCTTCACTAGAGGACAGACGGACAGACTGACACGCATAAAGTTAAAGCTCCTAAATATGATTTTTTTTTGCTTGACGTTCAAAAGTGCCTAGTGTGTGTTATTTGAAATAAATAATTTTGACTTTGACTAAATTCAAGGTCAAGGTCAAAGTAAAAAAAATAGACATTTCAAATTTAACTTTTTATTGTCTGCCATCTATATACTATATATGTATTAATTTATTGAAAATAAATACTTACCAGAGTAAAGAAGTCAACAAGAATTAAAAACTTATACGGCCTTATTACAAAACAAGTTTTTACTTTAATCTAGGACTAAACCAATGAGCCAGTTTTCGTATTTCGAATTGAATGTAGATGACAATAAGATTCAAAATTCAAAACCCGACTCAATGGTTTAAACCTGGACTAAAGATAAACCTTGTTTTGCAATAAGGGGGATAAAGTTTATCCCAGTTAATTCACTTGACTAAGAACTGATTTTTCAATAGTCAGATAAATGTTATCTGAGGAATAAAATTGTTGCTGTCACTGTCTTATACAAACATTATGACGCGACAGCATCATAATTATTCCCCAGACGACTTTTATCTAACCATTGAAAAATCAGCCCTTAGTCTTTATTATTAACATGTTCAGGAAAAAGTAGGTAGGTATATAAAATATAGTTCTGCTTGCGTTGGCTTTTTTTTGAGTTTGAGGGGAAAATCATCAAATGACTTCTCCCGCCCAGGGTAAGGCGAGAGAGAGTGTCAGACTCTTACTGACTAAAAACCCCCCGTTGCTTCTCCTGCTTTAGGCCCAGGCCGCGGTATACATTACAACAGTATTCAAACGATTCCAATTTAAAAAGAACTCCCATATCCTTATAGACTTTTAAATTTAAAAAAAAATCGTGTATTAGAAAAAAAATATAATAATACCTACCTTAAACGTTATTACCTACTCTATATTATTATAATATAAAGTACATACATATATATTATTATATAAATATATAAATAAATAAGCAAAATAATAACATTGAAGATCAAGATCAAAATTTGACTTTCAAAGTCACAATGCTTTTATTTTACAAATAAAAGTCGTAGTTTTAATTTTAATGTTTAAAAGTCAAAGTCAAAGTTTGATTTTCAATGTCAAAGTAGTTAACGTTTGACTCTCGAATTTGTCAAAGTGAAATTTGACATGCAAATCGCAAAAGCATTTTTTTTATTAAAATTAAGTTTACATATATATAAAAAATCTATTTGTCTATCTGTTATGATAGTAAAATAACATTTACTATATTATTAATGGAAGATTAACATACTTGGGGTATAAAAATCTGACAAATTTAATATTATATTAAGTTTTCCTTGCTCACACTCAACCTCGTTAATTTTCGAGGTCGCTCGACTAATTTCAAGCCATGACAGGGACTCGTAATCTGAAGCATCAAGCGCTATGAGAACTCGTTATTAATTTAGTAATGATGATTATATATTAAAAGCTTAATGAGGCTATTTCAAAAGGCTAACAAAACACTCCTTTGGTGTTACAAGTGTCCTTGGTAAGCAAAAGGCGTCCTTTTGCTTACCATCAGGTGGTCCGGCGTGTGTTTTGGATTCACATTAAAACGCAATCCGGTACCGAGTTTACAACAAGTCAAATTCAATAATTAATTGGAAACCCTTTAAAAAACCTACATAGCACGTTTGCTAGCCTTCCATTGAAAAAAATATATTAAAAAGTATTTTAGGGACACTTGCTAGAACAAAATATTTAACCAAAGATTTCTTTAATATTACAAATATTAATAACCCACCGATTTTTTTTAGAGGCTCAAATTATTATTATATTATTACTTGCGACCCTAAGCGACAAAATAACTCCACAATTTAATGGATGTTATTATACATATAAACCTTCCTCTTCAATCACTCTGTCTATTAAAAAACTGCATCAAAATCCGTTGCGTAGTTTTAAAGATTTAAGCGTACATAGTGATATAGGGACAGAGAAAGCGACTTTGTTTTATACTATGTAGTGGTGTACAAACTGGTGAAAAGTGACTGGTACATTGTCAGTGCCGACTAGAGGCCACTGAAAATAATGTGGCGCCCAGTTAAGGGAAGCAATATCAAGTGTAAGTTTTATTTTGATCGTATTGATATCGTTAGAGTCACTCCTCAAAATATCAATCGAAAGAAATTCTCAATAAAAATATGCATATGCACAAAGCGTAGAGCACAGTTCTGATGGTTTGCACCAGGAGAGGCAAGAGACACCGACTTCAGACCTTGGAGCCCCCTAACGCCCCTCTCCCCTCCTTACGCCGGCACTGTGCATTGTGTAATTGTGTATGTCTCTATTTGCCCTATCGGGGTTTAAGCTATTGGCTCGTTCCAGAGCGTAGATTTCTATTAAAAAGAACGCGAAAAAAACTTCTTAAAAAAGGTAAGAAATAGACCTTATTTTTATTACGTACTAGCTACTCTCGCACGGTTTTACCAGCTGCTCAGCTTCATTGGATCGTAGCGTGATGTTTTATAGCACTCAGCCATCGTCTCATATCCTATGTCCCATCTCCAGTTTCAAACTGTCAGTACCAAATTTCACAGAAATCGGTTCAGTAGTTTAGGCGTGAAGAAAAGACAGACAGACAGAGTTACTTTCGCATTTATATTATTCAGAAGGTAGTAAGTATCCCCATGTATATAAAGTTTTCCATTAATAATATAGTTAATTTATACTTTTGCGGGAAAGTTTTGAGCCTAAATGTGTTCACATCATCATCATCAGCTTATCAGTGTTCACTGCTGAGCAAAGGCTTCTTCTCATACGGAGAAGGTTTGAGCATTACACCACGCTTGCTCAAGGCGGATTGGCGATTTGAAACTTATAATTAGGAATTGTAAGTCTAAGTTTCCTCACGATGTTTTCCTTCACCGTATGTCAGTGGTGTCTAAATAATCATAAAAGTATTTGATACTTTGGTGTGATGTGAATGTCATATTAATATTATATATTGTATACTTCCAGGCTCAAAACTTTTTATCCGCCTAGATATTATGAAAAAAAAAACAAAATTCCAACTTACAATGAAAGTTATCGTTTTGCTCTCACAAGATGGCGCTGATGTAGTTTTAGGTCATGTAAGAACTCGTTTACGAAGACACGGTGTGTCGTGCATTGTAAAAATATATAAGCAATGAATTATATTTAGTTATTTTTAAACATCGGAGGTCCAATCCGCCACCCTCCATCCTCAATCACTAAATCACCTACCCAGTAATTCAACAACAAAGATTCTTTAGACTATCCAACACACACACACACACACACATACACACACACACATTTGTCACATATTATGTACGACGGACTCTGACGCGCCATGTCACCGTAAACGAAGTCTAATGCCCGGTTTCCGAAAGCCCGATCAATGTTAAAATCAATTAACTAGGTGTCAAAAATTCTTGTAAGTCATCTGATTGGTTGTTGATAATTCAGTCAACCAATCACATGACTTGACAAGAGATTAAATTGATTTTAACAATTATCGGCCTTTATGAAACCGGATGTAAATGTGACAAAAAAAAATATGACCTTAGAAGCTATATAAAGGACTTCAAGTTATTATTTAAAAAAAAGCGGCGCAATTAAAAAGGCGTTACGTTTAAAATATAATATTTTAGACGGAATACATTACAAATTAAAGAAAAACAATAAGTATGCCAAAGTTTTTACTCTCCCGTTTATTAAATAAGGGTTCTTATTTGTTTATTATATAGTTTTTTTTCTTAGACGTTCAAACTTAGTTATATTATGTTCTATTAAGATAAGTTTCGCATCATACAGTCGACTCAAAGATATTATAAGTAAAAAGAACTGTAGAAAAGTTACATAAAACAACATTCGATGTACTTATCATACCTAAGTGTGGGAGAGCCATGCTTCGGTTCGAATGGGTCGCCTCGACCGGAGTTTTTTTTTTATGTAATAAATCGGCGGATTACCTGATGGTAAGCAATCAACGCCGCCCATGGACACCCGCAACGGAGGAGTTACGAGTGCGTTGCCGACCTTTAGGGATTAGGGATTTGGAGATTTAGGGATTGGGGGAGGGTCCGGGAAGGGGAAGGATTGGGCCTCCGGTAACCTCACTCACACGGCGAAACACAACGCTGTGGTTGTTTCACGCCGGTTTTCTGTTAGGGCGTGGTATCACTCCGGTCGAGCCGACCCATTCGTGCAGAAGCATGGCTCTCCCATACTTAAATTACGGCCGTGTGAGTGAGGTTACTGGAGGCACAATCCCTCTTCCCTTCCCTTCCCAATGCTTAAATATCCGAAATTCAAATCCCCAAAAGACACTTGTAACTCCTTTGGTGTCCATCGGCGGAGCTGATTGCTTACCATCAGGTAATTAATCTGCTCGTTTGCCGACTTATCCCATAAAGGGGATTTAGAGATTTTGGAATTGAGAGAGGGGAAAGATTGGGCTCACTCACGCGGCAAAACACAACGCTGTGGTTGTTTCACGCCGGTATTCTGTGTGCCCGTGGTATCACTCCGGTCGAGCCGACCCATTCGTGCCGAAGCTTGGCTCTAAGACACTCAATACTTTTCTAATACTTACCTTTTTACTTATAATATCATTGGTCGCGATCCATATCTCTTAAAATGGATGTCACTGTCCTTAGCGACTCCTTCTAGTATTAGAAGGCGATCTATTATTGTTTTAGGTAACAAAAGTGCACAATTAATTAGCACAATTTTCTCAGTAATTGTTAAGTTTATATTAGTAATAATATAATCGGCACACAACCTATGTGGCACTAAAAAAATCCTTTTTTTATTATTATTAAGGTATATCTGTGTTCAAACTTTTGACGGCTATTTTCAATAGTATACCTAGTTTCGTGACTGGGCTCCCAGTTGTACAGTCTCTTCTGTGCCTTTAAGGCTTAAATCATTCTGTCTCCAGCATTCAATTTACCGATGAAAGTGGAAACTATTTCGTTTCTTCTCCTCAAATAATGTCTACTGATTTATTTCGTTGCGGGATCCAAGACAGTCATTCATGTCACTGAGACTGACTTCAGTGTTTCGGTGTTTTCATGGTTGTATCTACTGTAGATCCTAGAGTACAGGAGTTGCAGCGGCTTTGGGAGGTTGCGGCGTTCTAGTCCCTTAAAAAAAATATATAAGTACCTAGTTTTCAAAGCCAAAATTTTGTCACGCAATGAGACCCCGAAAATAGTCAGTTCCATTGCGCGATGAACGACTGTCTTTCGAGAAGACCAGAAGTTAGGGACCACGTCTCAATACCATACGTTATCTCCTAAAACGCACCGCGGGTCTGCGGACGGCGAGTAAGAGTAGCTCGCCGCCCGACCAGAACCAGACCCGAGCGTACGGCGCGTAGAGCCAATAGCCCACAACAGACGGGGCCTTATAGTGCTGATGTTCAGCCGGGGTTGCGGGGTAAGCGCAATGAGGCACCGCGACCTCGGCCCAGAGAGTCCGACACTCCCTCCCGCTCTACCCTGGGCGGGAGAAGTCATTGCATGACTTTCTCATCACAAAAAAAACCGGCAACTCACGCCGATTGGTCTTAAAGCGCTGTGTGATTTTCGATGAGAAGACATCGTGTAACTTCTCGAACATTCGAGGAGGTTCTATACAATACATAATTTGACAAAATTCTTCTATTGAAATCTGTTGAGAGAATAGTAATTGAAAATAGCCGGAGAAAACATAAAAATTGTCTTTCTATTAAACTTTTTCTATTTTGACTGCCTCGCAAAGGCAGAGAAAATTTATTCCCTCGGCAGAAAATCTGATTTCAGACTCCGATTAAACTATTTTTGGCAACTACATCGTTGTGTTTCGCCGTGTATGTGAGGCTATGGGCGGCCCAATCCTCACCCTCCTCGTTCTAAAAAAAAACAAGTATCATACGATGTTTTTCAACACACTTCTGAATAAAATAATAATTCAAAAGAGAAAACAAGACGAGTTGTGAAAAAATTTTGGTAATGGCGGGAAAAACTAATCAATCATAATTAAAAAAAAACTTCATTACTCACTCGTGAATAATAGTAATGAAAAAGTCACAGTTTGATTATAGGTGTCATTACGTACCTAATTGCGCCAGGAATGAAAAAAACATCAAAGTAGAAAATACCTATGTGGTAGAAAGACAATTTTTGGTGATCCATTAGACCTACTGTCATCTATATTCCGTCTAGCTGCTATTTATTAATATAAAATTTTTGAAACAAAAAATAAAAAAATAATAGAATTGATGTTTGTAGAAACAATTATTATGTATAATAATTTAATGTTTTGCACTAAAAAAATAATAATTTAAAACAAATAGTTTACGGGACTCCCTAGTTGATCTGAAATAATAGTCACAAAAAAAAAATCGTCTCAAAAATTTTTTTTTTTTTTTAGACTTATTTCTTAGTCGAAATTAGTTTCTAGTTTATCTTTAGTTTATTTATATCAATCGTTGATTAAATATGGGTAATGCTAATCTGTATGTTGCTTTAATAATTTCGCAATATATGTTAAAAAATTAATTTACTTGGTATTGGTATGGAAGAAAATATTAATTTAATACAGAGACAGTCACTATAGTTTATAGAATCAAGCGTTACATTACGAAATCCATGATGTTAAATTTTATGGAAAATATCAAGTTTTAATTCCGCGACAAAAATTGCAAAAAAAATATTTCCGTTTTTTTTCGTATTTTTCTGTTTTTTGCGCGTATGCATATGCAAGATCGCGTAGGGTGGGATTGCATCCTGCAACAAGCCTGGTTTTTTGTCGCATAAATTAAAATTAAAGCTCGATAATATTTTTCATAACACTTGACACTATAGTTTGTCTACTTAGAGCTGATTTTTCAATGGTTAGATAAAAATTACCTGGGGGATAATTATAATGCTGTCGCGTCACAATGTTTGTATATGACAGTGACAGCAACAATTTTATTCCTCAGATAACATTTATCTGACTATTGAAAAATAATCCCTTAGCCAGCTTAGAACACCGTATAATTTAGTAAAACTATGTATACTGAATCTGTACTAAATTAATATTTATTTCATTACCAAAATACCAAATAAATGTGCAGTCTACCAACTTAAAATTAGGGGCGGGACTTTTAAGCAAAAGGATTATAGATAATTTGTGTGTTGGGCAAAAAATATCGAAAGAATAATTTGATATCATACAATACGGTAGTTTCCAACTAGTCAAATTCAATACTTTTATCCAAATGTCAAAAACGATACA